GGGGCGCGCGGCTGACTTCCCCAACGTAAAGGGATTGAGCCCACTTCTTTCGCTGGCTGGTGGAGTCTCCACCAGTGTTGCCACCATTAATCATGTGGATGTGGCGCTTGTATTGTTGGTGGGAGCCCTCTCCCTCGTCTTCGAGGCCGCCAATTTCACGCTTCTTCCCCTGTGGGTTTCCCAAGGGGATGGTGTTGGGGTTCACCCACTTGTTGGCCTTCGGCGGAGGCCCTTGATGGTGAAGGGGGCCCTGGGGAGGAGGGCCCCTGATGAACTGAGATAAGTGGCCCGCCTGTATTAGCCTCTCGATGGCGTTCTTCAGCTGATGGCAGTCGTCGGTTTTGTGTCCATGGTGGCGGTGGAAGCGGCAGTAGGGCTCATCAGGACCGATGGCATAAATCTCGAGGGGTGTGCGGGAGTCTCGCTCAACGAGCCCCCGCTCTTCCGCGTGATCAAGAATGACGCTGACGGGATGCGTCAAGGGAGTGCGTGGGTGCTCAAGGAGGACGGGTTGCGCCCATGCCTTCGGATTATTCTTGTAACCGCCCCCGGGTCTGGCTTGGCCACCTTGGGAGCGATCATTGTAGTGGGGCTCTCGGTTGGCCGGAGGGGGAGGCCCTCCGGGCCGATTCCTGCCTTCATTCTTCTGAGAGGGGTCTGTGTTGCGGCGGTCCTTCTCGATTTCCTCTGCCTCAGCATATCGGTCCCCCCGCTGAAGGGCCTTTGTATAATCGCGGGGGGGATCAGTGATAAGGCTCCGGGAGAAGTTACCATTGCGGAGGACGGTGTGGAAGAGGGCCATCAGGGTCCTGTCATCGGCGCCTTCGACCTCGAGGGAGGCCTGCCTCCAGCGTTCCAGGAAACTCCGAAGGGTTTCCTCCTTCTGTTGTCTCACGTTCAGAAGGTGGGAGAAGTGTTTCTTTGAGCGGTGCCTCCCGGCAAACTGCGTAAGGAAGCGGTGGGCAAGTTCTTGCCACGAATCAATGCTGCCTTCGGGCAACCGGTTGAACCACTCATACGCTGGTCCCTCCAAGGTGGAAAGGAACCAACGGCATAAGTATTCATCCGATGCCCCCATCATCATCATGCTGTTTTGATAACGGCTATAGTGCTCCTGGGGATCCGTCTTCCCCTCATATGGTTTGATAGGTTGCCCCCGATATTTGTGGGGGATTTTGGCCGCCAACACCCTTGGGGTGAAAGGCGTCCTAGTGCGGAGCTGAATGAGGGGCTCTCCTGAGCCTTCGGCAAGTTTACGTTTCATTTCCTCCACCTGCGCCCGGAGGTCAGCGTACTCCGGATCTGGCCTCGCTGTGGAAGCCGTCGGGGGTGCCTGACGATTCTCCTCGAGTTGACGGAGGAGAGCTTCAATGATTTCGTCCTTGGGATCCTTCGGGGCAACCCCTTGGGAGTTGGCCCGGAAGAATTGCGCCTGATTGATCTGGTGCCTGGCGTCATCGGCATGGAGGAGGGCTTTGCCTTTGCTTCGTGGGGGAGGCGCGCCCTCGGCGCCCGAAGCAGAGGCTCCACTCTCCTGGGGCCTGCTGAATGCCTGTTTCCCGAGGCGGTCTTGGACCCCTCGGTGCCCGGGAGCTCCCCCAAGCCTCTCAAGTACAGAGGTTCGGGGTTTCTCTTTCATCATGGGGCGCTTGTCCCTGGATTGGGCCTCTTGGGAGGCGGTATCCTGCGCCATGACCCCCTCGGCATTGCCAATCCCCGGGGGAGGACTGTTGAACAAAGGAGGGAGTGGTGGTAGTTGGATAACATTCCCTCCAGCGTGGGGCTGAAGGGGCGCCTGGGAGGCGAGGGCTCCTGAGTTGAGAGCCATGTTTTGAACAAAGGCCGCAAAGGCAGCCTGAAGATCGATGGCCGGGGCCGGAGGGGGAACTTGGTTCTCACTCCGATCCCTCCTTCGATTATCAAGGCCAATGCGGGCATCAGGGGCGTTCTTCTGTAGCTGCTGCCGGAGGTCAGCAGTAGCCTGCTCCAACTCGAGGATGATACCACCCTCGGGTACCAAGAGCCTGTTGGAGGCCTCAGCCCCGTTGGTTTCGCCGGGGGCGACGTGGTTCTCCTCCAGAGTTTTGGATTGGGCACGAGTGGTTCTTCCCATTTTTTGGTAGGTGTTTGGTCTTTGGTAGAGGGGGAGGGTTTCTTACTTGATAGTTCAGAACTCTCAACGAGAGCACCAAATGATGGATAGTCTACCCGGGGGGTATCTTATCCGAGGGGTTATTACGGGAATAACTTAGAGAGAAGTCAGAGCGAATAGGAGGAGAGAGAGTCGATTTTATTAAAATGAACTCAGCGTGGTTTACAAGGCGAATAAGGGCTGCTATTTATAGCAGCAATAAATGCGATGAGGGTACACGTGTCAGTAATCCAACGGCCGAAGGGTCACATCAGCCTGGTGGCACCGGCAGTGGTACGTTCACCGCATTGAATGCGGTTGGCGGATGTGACGTGGCATTAAATGCGGTGGTTGGCTGTCCCAAAAGGAATCTTCGATGATTGAGCATGTTTGGCCGAAGGCTTCTTGTGTAGCCGAGGGCTCCGTGTAACCAAGGACCCCTGTGTAGCCGAAGGCCCCGAGTGGCAGAGGGCTAAGTTCAGCCGAAGGCTCCCCTGATGCCGAGGGCTTGGCAATGCCGAAGGCTCATGTTTTTCGCCGTTTTCTCCCAGTGGCTCCGTATGTCAGAGAGGGCTACTTCGTGAGTTTCTGGAGCCTTCGGCCAAGGAGGCCGAAGGCACCCCAGTATGTTTTTCGGGCTATTTTGGGGCTTGGGCCGTTGCTTTTGGGCCTGAGTTGTTCTCTGGGCTCATTGGATATGTGTAGCAGGAGTAGGAGTCTATGGGCCGGGGGTTCTTGGGCCATATACTCCATCACCTACCTTACCTGTCCGACCCCACCCTACACGTACCCCACCCCTACCCTACCCCATTACCAGACACCCCCTACCCTACCTAACCGACCCCACCCCTACCCTTACCCCACCTACCCTACCCCTACCTGACCCCGCCTTACCCTTACCCCTACCCTGACCCAACCCTACCCCATCCTACCCCTAAGGTGGGGTTGATGTGGTAAGGGCCTATGGGGGTAAGGGCCTATGGGGTCGGGGGTAAGGTTGCGGTAGGGTGGGGACAGGTTAGGGTGGGGTCGGGTAGGGGTAGGGTCGGGTAGGTAGGGTAGGGGTAGGGGGTATGGGTGGGTGGGGTCGGGGTAAGGTAGGGTGGGTAAGGGGTTAGGGGTATGGGTACACATATTATATTATATACTTGTGTTCATGAATGTTTGTGTGTATATATATGTATAGGGTTATTTTGGACATTTTAATGTTAAGTGGTGTTTTAAACCGTTTGAAGTAAACACGGTCTTACAACATTGTTTATTTTATGCGCCGCTTATTAACACGGGTCTTAATAAGCACCGTTTAATAACCGGTGAAGTAAACATGTCCGTAGTATTATACGGGTGTAAACCAGACGAGCCCCATGACTAGGTTTGAGCTTGAACTTGAACTTCATAATAATTTACGAGCTTGAGCTTGGAGTAGTTAAATAATTCGGGCTCGAACTCGAGATGAGCTCGGCTCGAACTTAATTCGATCTCGGTTCGAGCTCGGGTCAAGTTTTGCAAATTAATTTTTATAGGCTTGAACTCGAATAAGATGCTCGAACTCGAGCTAAAAATATAATATGTGTACTTATTCATTCTCATTTTTAGTTTATCTCTCATTTACTGACATTTTTGTTCTTTATTTTACTGTTAACAAATATTACAGGTACATATTATAGTTATTACAGGTTATAGTTATAATAATAATAATACTACATACATGTTATTATTTTTCTAATTACTACGTATTAAATATGGAACAAATACATATTCTAAAAAAGTATGTGTATATATATATATATATACCTATTACATATTACACATAAAATATACTCCGTATAGAATATGACACAAAGGCTCGCGAATCGGCTCGCGAACCACGAGCCAAAAAAAAATAAGGTTGAATTGAGTTTGTTAACTATTCGAGTCGAGCTTAATATGACCGAACTCGAGTCGAATTTTTTTGGAGCGATCCACGAGCAGCTCGCGAGCGGCTTGACTCATTTACACCCCTAATTAGTAAGACCATTTGGAGTGGTGAGGTATTAGGAGTCCAAAATGCTAAATGTAGAATTTTTGGACTCCTAATTGTGTGTAGTGGTAGTTTAAAAGGGGTATTAAAAATGGAAGAGGGGATGAAAGGTATTAAATATAGAGGGTTGGGTAAGGGGGGAGTGGGAAAAAGGAAAGGAAAGAAAAAGAAGAGAAAAGAGAATGCAAGTTGCTTTTCTGGTGCAAATGATGTCATGCTGATGTCATCCCTGCATCATAATATCCCAAAAAATTTTAAACTTGTATAACTTTTTTATTTTTTATCCAAATTTTTCAAAAAGTATATCAAAATTCATAATTTTTATGATCTTTCATATGACACCAATATGTAATATATAAAAATAATTTTTTTTAAAGTTTTAACTGTTGAAGTTTTCTTGAACCCCGGAAAAACATGAAACACAAATCTTTAATTCATGAAGCCTTCACAAATAATTGAATATTCCATAATTGAACTTTACTTGAATTAAGATCATATTTTGTTAACCAAAAAACATAAAAAAGATTAATGAAATTTATTTATTTTTATATCGAAATATGTCTTTTTTATTTTATAATTAATCAGAGAAAAAATTAAAGCGAAAACATTACTTATAATAATTTAATTAATGTTATACTAAATTAACATGTAAAAAAATGTGCAGAATGTATTTTATTGACGGTGCTAGAATGCAGAGAAATAGAAATCAAAACACTGTTTTCATATGGACGGAGTCTATTTTTGACATTTAGACTCCCTCACCACTCCAAATGGTCTAATTAGTACCAATTATTGAAGTATTTGATCCTAATCGGGCCAACATGAAGAGAAGAGGCCCATTATCGAAAAGGCCCACTTTCGAAAAGGCCCGCATCAGCTAGGGCTAACCATTATCTTTAACCGAATATAAACGTTTATCCTCCCCGTAGGGTTTTAGTGGAGAACTCAGTTCAGAGCTGCGTCACGACAGAGCTCACCAGGGCGGAGGCTGAAGACCTAGGGCGGCTGCGGCGACAACCAGTTCAACACCACCAATATGGTTCGATTCGCTTTACATTTCAGACAATCGTTCAATTAGTGTTTGTTTGCTCTCCTACGATTTCAAATCGCTTGTTTGCTACACTGATCTTTCCATGATGTATGATTACGGAGGCATGCTATTTGCTTACTTCATTGAGTGTTTTATAAATAAAAAATCTACATTTTTATGAGTTAGATCTGTAGCATATAGGTTAATCACCGATGATGCGTATCAGAACAAGCGATGAAATTTTTATCACTGCTTTTATACGCACCTCTTTGTTATGCGACACTTCAATCTAAGTCTGTTTTTTAATCAAGGTTAAGCAACCCTCACCGGTGGAGTAGTAGTCCAGGATATAAAAATATTATTTTTATGCAAAAAAATACGAACACAAATATATATCTAATACAGAGTATCTAATATGTATATCTGGATCTAGTAGTCGACATATCTCACATCTTGTCATCTGACCTGCATTTTATGTCTTAGTTTCACTTCACATGCTGCAATTTTATGAAATGTGAAGTAATTCTTTTTCTACATCAACAAAATAAACATAATACTCTCCATAACTGTGCCTTAAATATAACAGTAGGATATGAGATAATCAATTCCAAGTCCTTTGGAACTTGAAATTATATTTTCAAATATTAGAAATTTATGCCTGTAATAATGTCATCAGCTATTTGTCTGTGGGTGACATTCTACCAGCGATGACATGCTTATTTTGGTGCACAAACTTCCAGTCCCGCTTTCGGTTGCTTTGTTTTGATATCTTTTCCACTCTGCAGGCTAGAGGTTTGAAGAAGCACTTAAAGAGGCTCAATGCCCCAAAGAATTGGATGCTTGACAAGCTTGGAGGTGCATTCGTAAGTAAAAAGATGTTGATTCACTCTCACAACTCAACTATGCTTCTGGCTTTACTGCTCCCATAACCATGTCCTTTTCATTGTTATTTTATAGGCTCCAAAGCCCTCTTCTGGTCCCCACAAGTCAAGGGAGTGCCTGCCTTTAGTGCTCATCATTAGGAACAGGCTCCACTATGCTCTTACCTACCGTGAGGTTATTTCCATTTTGATGCAACGTCATGTTATGGTTGATGGCAAGGTCAGGACTGATAAAACTTACCCTGCTGGTTTTATGGGTAAGCCTTCTTACTATTTGATGTATTCTACTGTATCAAACTGTGTAATCTCGTTTATGAGTATATATTTATTTTATTTTTCTTTATTTTTGTTCAATGTGGTTGCCTTTTTAATAAATTGTGTAAACTTTCAGATGTTATTTCGATTCCCAAAACCAATGAGAACTTCCGCCTGCTGTATGATACTAAAGGGCGGTTCCGTCTTCATTCAATCAGGGATGAAGAGGCTAAGGTCAGTATACTGCAGAAAACTTTGTGTTTTTAACATTTAGTACAAGTGGAATTTGCAGTGGCAGTATACAAAAACTGTTTTCCCACTTATCTAGTTCTAAAAAGAAATATCTGGTTTTGTAAGGCTATGTTTCTTAGTTTTTTCATCAAAAATTATAGATATATGTAGAGAGGTTGAGTTTGTGAAATAATATAGTGATCTACAATTGATTTGTCGATTTATGGTACTTATACCATTTGTTTAGCAATTTTTCTTCTAGAAAACGTTTTATTTCTTTTACTTAGATTTTTAAGGTATAAACATATCCTGAACAGCAGCATAAGCAATCAGCTTACCGTTAAAGGGACATTTCAATAGTTTTTATACTACATAGCCTTTAATAGCCGTAATTTAAGTTAGTTTTTGTATCAGTGCCTTTGAAAAACAGGAATATTGAGTAGTGTTTGACTCGTCCTGTTTGTAAATGCTATATGGGGAAAATTTTATCACACTATTCTTGATTTCAATGCAAAGCCTTGCTCTTTTGATGAATTCATCTGACTCTTCCATTTTAATCAAATAACTTTTACAAAACTGCCAAACAATACTTGTGTTATGCATTAGCTTCACTTTCTCTTGATGGCATGCTGGAAAGTAGAAGCACCCTTCACCCTGCAATTTACCTATTCTTGTGTGTGTCGATTTGCAGTTCAAGCTTTGCAAGGTCCGCTCTGTTCAATTTGGGAAAAAGGGCATTCCATACATCAACACCTATGATGGTCGGACCATTCGCTACCCTGACCCTCTTATCAAGGCCAACGACACCATTAAATTTGACTTGGAGGGAAACAAGATTGTCGACTTCATCAAGTTCGATGTTGGGAATGTAGTTATGGTGACTGGTGGAAGAAACAGGGGACGTGTCGGAGTCATTAAGAGCAGGGAGAAGCATAAGGGTAGTTTTGAGACCATTCACATCCAGGATGCCCTTGGTCATGAGTTTGCCACCCGTTTGGGAAATGTCTTCACCATTGGCAAGGGTGCCAAGCCTTGGGTGTCTCTACCCAAGGGAAAAGGTATCAAGTTGACCATCATAGAAGAAGCCAAGAAGAGGCAAGCTCAGTCTGCAGCCACTGCTTGAAAAGTGCTACAGATAATGGTGTTGGTCTATTGATTAGTATTTCGTTTGAAGGTTTTGGTAACTTAAGACACTGTTTTTTTATCTTATCTTGTGAAACGTATTCTATTTGCTTTTAGCAACACTTTTTGGCACCTGAATTTGAGCTGTTTTCTTATTGGCATTTTATTTAATCTGATGTCTTGTCCTCTCTTAAATAAAATCTTTTTTGGAAAAAAGATTTGACATAATTAAACAAGTTTAGTGTTACCTATCGGCTATCAGTAGCTAACGACGAGCAATTGTTGGCATGAAAAAGGACAATTTAGAGTTATTTTTTTTATCAGATTTTATAAAGTTTCATGTTTGTTACTCCGTATATGTTTTACTAGTCCTTGGTAAAACAGTAGATCCTGACTTTTGGTTTAAGAGAGTAACGTTAGAGGTAGATACACTTGTAAAAATATTTACAAAAGTGCGATTGCAATTGCCAGTTTTGCCACATCAACCCAGTGCCCCACCTTTCTGAATTGACTTGCAGTATAGGTTGATGAGATCGTTTGTGTTTGCGAATGAATTTGTTAGCAAGTCTGCTAATTGTGAAGTTTAACGCGTATCCGGTGTTGTATTGAAGTATTGAACGTTATCTTATTTATGATTTTGTGGTTATTGCTTTACTAAGAAGATTCTAAACTGTTTGTTAACCTTATATTTTGACATACAAAGTGCTCGAATTAAAAAGATTCTAAACTGTTTGTTAACCTTATATTTTGACATACAAAGTGCTCGAATTAAAATTGGTCGGAATTAATTACCACCTATGTAATACAACCGACCATGATGATTTTCAGTCACTATATCATCTCATATTGCCGTATTGGTATGTTTTGAGTTGTGATATAGAATGAGGATGGAGATTTATTTGGTGTATAAGACCCGGAATTATGCGGCTAGCGCCTAGTGCTAACAATTGTTTAATAAATGTTGACTATTTTGTGAGGTGTTTGAGACACCTATAGTCAATTGAGAGCGAGTTTTTTTGTGCGGAAGTGAAGTAGTGAACTGGTGAACTGATGTTAACAAAAACATGAATACAAAGAAGAATTTAAGGCCGTGATGACAAACCATACATCACCCCACTTAGCGGTGGACTTAGTTCCAGAGTCCAGACTCCAGATGGGAGATGGGCTAGTAAAGAATAATTGAGTTCCCGCTATGGTTCTTTAAAAAAAAATCTATTCTACCACTAGCCGAAGTTGGATTGGAGTAGGTCCCTACTCGGAATGACTAAAGTAAGTATGCGCTTGACAGATGCTTTAAGCTTGATGGATCAAATGCCACCATTATGGATTTGTAATTCACCATGTGCGATTGGGGAGGCAAATTTTGTGTCTGGTTGCTTGAACAGTGGAAGCCGCGGAAAGACTAGGTGTGGACTTGGTCTGGGAATGGAACTGCTCGATTTTGATCAGGACCATAAAATAAGATTCCAGTCATTTCACTGTTTCTTGTCACTCCCGTTTTGTGCAAATCCAATCTCCTGCCTTAGTTTTTTCCCTCACTAGTGAATCCACCCCCCCTAAGTGGTATTCTTACTCCGATACTTCTGTTCATATGACTTCTAATGAAAGTATAAGTTTAATCTGTGACGACTATCTTGCCTCTTAGGCCTCTCATTTTGATGGGGCCTCATATTTTTTTCTGTCCCATTAATAGTAATACAAAGTATAATATATATTTAATTTCTATTTACTAGTATTAACATTTTATCTAGAGAATTAGTTATGATATGACATGGCTTTGTTATTCAAGACCGAACGAATAAGTTGCTTTGCTTTCAGCCTCTTGGACTTCGGTTTAACCTTCCGGTTCAGCTTCTTTGAAGTAAATTTTCACTTGCTTCCTAGCAAAAATGAAGACAAATTGAAAAGTACCACTACCCTCGTCCCCTTAAGATTATGACAAATGAATGTGATGCGATTTTTAAGAAAAGTAGAGTTATATAGTTGATAATGAATTGATAAAGTAGTGTTGAGGTTTATTCCTTCAACCCTCGGGTCCAACACGTAAGCCCAAGAGTTTCGAGTGGAGTGTGTATGAGTAAACTAGCCCAACTAACAAGTGAGATGAATTAAGAGACAATAAGTAGTAAGTAAGAGATTAGGTATTATTAATCAGTTAATAACTCCCCAATACAATACTTTTCGCTAAGGCTCGCCGGCCGTTTGTCTTACAAGGCAGTAGAAGAGCTGCGAGTAAGATTGCTATAAGCTAGAGTGCTAAGAATAGTAAGTTGCCAACCCCTTACAATGAAATAAATGCTTCCTCACCTTCCCAGCGCTCGCCGCAACAGGAATAGGTACCGCCCGTGTTTCTGGATTCTCAATTCCCCCCCTATGCTTGTCTCGGGGCACCGAGGGGTCCTGTCCTCTGTGGTGAGGGTCTTGGTTCCAAAAACCGATTGGCTCCTAATGCCTTGTGCTTTTTGTTCCAGGTTTACCTCCAACCGACGCTCAAATGAACCACGCCAAGATGTTGAAGACGAGGAAGGGCAAGGGGGCGGCCACCGATGCTGCGCTTGCCAAGGCCAAGGCCACCCAGGAAGCTGATTCTAACTCCTCCGCCTCTCAGGCTGATCAGCGCACGGTTGAGGCGGAGCAACATTTGATTGCCACAGTGATGGCACAGGGAGCCCAAGCATCCCCTGCTGATTCTGGCATCCCCTGCAGACCGTCCTTCCCCAGGCGGGGGAAAAACCTAAGGAAAAGAAGACGAAGAGGCCTCGTGAGGCCGGCTCTTCGGCCCCCTTAGAGCAAGAAACAGCCCTCCTTCCTCTGGGACGTCCGGCTCACGATATCTGGCAAGAAATTGCCTCTCTGGCCGGAATGGAGGTGCCGGCCCGCACGTCCTCGGAGGCCTCCAATGCTGCCCTAGCTGCCGCTCTTCAGGTAAATCTCATTTTACATTGCCTAGCGGGTTCCAGTTTGGGGATCCACAATCTCATATTCATGTCCCTTACTTGTAGGTTGGGCTTTCTGTGCTGCAAGCAGAAGCCGCAAGGGATGCTGACGCCCTTCAGACCAAGAATAAAGCGGACACAGCCCTGAAGAAGGCGCGGGAGGCCGCCCGTTTCTTAGAGAAAGACGTGGCTGCCAAGGACAAGGAGTTGCAGGCCGCCCGACAAGCGGCTCGCGAGTCAACTGAGCAGGTTGCTGCTTTTGAGAAGGCCGGGTTCAAGCTGGTTCCGGTTCTTCCAGCTCTGAAGGACGAGGCCTCTGAATGGCTCGTCGACACCTCTGGGTATGAAAATACCGGGGCCTTCATGATTGCTGCCCAGAGGTACTGCGGAGGTGCTTTTGGCGATGTGTTCTCGGCCGAGTTGCAGAAGCAGAAGCCGAAGGACCGTCTTCAATTCGGGGTCCGGGTTCTAGAGAGTGCTCCCCTAACCGAGAAATTCCGCTATGATGTTGGGGATAGCTCCTTCGTCATTGGCTACAACAAGGGGGTAAAGTCCACACTCCTCGTTTTCGCCGAACTGCAAGGCCCCGGTTTTGACTTGGCCCAACATACTACTGATGTTGAACTGATTCGGGCCCTGGGCAAGCTGGAGAGGGACGCTCGTCGGGAGGAAGCCAAGGCCAGGGGCGAGATCCCGGAACCCCCGACTCCCGAGCCTGAGCCCGAAGAGGAAGAAGATGCTACTCCTGGGGGGTCTCGGCCTGTTTCTCCTAACTTCATTTGATATAATTCCTCATTTCTCATTTATCTTGTTGGTTATTATTGTAAATTTCAGCCGGTAGTGCTGAGGAATACACACAATTTTTGCTTATGGCTATGTCTACGCTCGTATTCTTTTACTTGTCATTTCCTTTATTCCGATTGTTGTGTGCGAGATCTTGATCCGTCGCTCTACATAGTTTTTCAATGGTTGCTGCGAAAAGATGGTCCTTAACGCCATCCTCAATCTCGTAAGCCGAGGGGACGGTCGTACTTGCCTTATACCTTGGCCCGCAGATGACGTTCGTCGAGCGTCGAGTTTGCTGCCTCTCCCCACCCTTTGCGAAGTGCGCGTGTACGAGCCGATTATTTTTGTGCGCATGTTGGTTAGAGACGTTCGTCCTCCCCAAATCTCCTTCAGTGCGCAAAGTTCCTTGTCATGCCAGGTGCTAAGGTCAAAATCTCCTTAAGACGTTCGTCCACCTTGTCTGTACTTTCTTCCCAAGTCTAAGGAGACGAACATACCTTAGTGATCTGTGGAGATCCTCAAGGTAGGAGAGCCCACCCTTTTCCTTGCACCCCTTGGGTGCGTGGTGTATCGCTGGTCGCGCGCGCCGGTTCACTCTTCTTCGTGGGACGTTCGTCGCCCTACCTCCAAGGTGGGGCCTGCGGTCCTTATTTGAAAAAGGTAGGTTCCAGAATCGAGGTGCATTTAATACCGCGGAATATACCGATATTTTGGCGCCACGTGTCTACTTGTGGTTGGTGCAGTCCCGCGGTGCTGTCTATAAGTACTCAAAACCTTGCGGATCAACCATTTTCTTCTTCCCTGGTCCTTACGCTGTGCAATTGCCTTCTCTCTCTAGCCATTCTCTGCACTGCGACGAGCTTCGAGGCCCGGAGGTACCGAACGTCGTCATGTCTTCGTCTAGGTTGGAGTCCCAAATTATTGATTCAAGGACCTGAATCAGCTCGTCTTCTACCGGGGATCGGTTTGACGACGGGTGCTCCTCTGGTGACGACCTAGAGTTCTACGAACGAGGTATGCAACCTCGGCCTCCCCGTCACCACCTTAATTTTTCCGGCATTCGTCGTCAGCCTCAACGTCTTTTGAATGCGGATCGGCGGTTGATTAGCCAATGGTTCCACCCTCCAAGGGTTTACGACGATCGTCGGTTGCGCAATCCGATGCGCCATCTGCCCGGCCATGTGGTGGTTCATTTAGATTCCGTTATAGCCGACCTCTTCTTCCCCCTGCATTCTTTCCATTTAGAACTCTTCAGGAGTCTTAGGATAACACCCGCGCAGCTCGTCCCTGCTGCCTATAGGATTATCGCGGGTTTCATCATCAGGTGCCACAGCGCCAGCGTGGTTCCCACTGTAGACTTGCTGCATCATTTTTTCCGGTTGTCCCCGTTTGGACGTACGGGGTACTTGACCCTGATTGCTCGCCCGTCAATGGCCTTGTTCTCGAACAACGCCGGGAACCCGAACGGCTGGGAGGAGAGGTTCTTCTTGGCTGGAGTAGGCTCCCCCATGCCTTTTTCTGACAGA